GTCCCCCCCTAGATCCCCCCAGATGCCTTCAGAGACCCCCCAGATCCCTCCATGTCCCCCCCAGTGCCCCCCAAAACCTAAATTCCCCCAGGAACCTCCAAATCCCTTCAGGTACCTGCAGTTCCACCCAAAACCGAGGGGGTTCCCGAATCACTTCAGAGCACCCCTAGATCTCTCCCTCAGTGCCCCCCACCCCATCCCTCCTGCCCCACCCCGGGGGTCCCCCCTGACCCCCCTGTGCCCCCCAGAGCTGTTCCCGGTGCAGATGGAGGGGGTGAAGCTGACGGTGAACAAGGGGCTCAGCAACCACTTCCAGGTGGGTTTTTGGGGGTGCAGGGGGATCAGAAGGAGGATGGGGGGTTCCCCCCCTTTCCCAGCCCCCTCAAACCCTCTCCCCACCTCCCCCAGGTGAACCACACGGTCGCCCTCAGCACTTTAGGGGAGTCCAACTACCATTTTGGGGCCACCTACGTGGGCACGAAGCAGCTGAGTCCCACTGAGGTGAGCTGGGGGTCTGGGGGGCTTCCCTGGCCTTCCCTTCCCTCTCCTTCCATTCCCAGTCCTTCCATCCTCTTCTCTTCCCAAATCTTCCTTTCCCCAACCTTCTCTTCTCCCTTCCCTTTCCCCTTCCCCTTTTTGGGAGTTCTGGGAGCCCCTAAATGCCCGGATTTCCCCCCGAACCCCCCCAGGCCTTCCCGGTGCTGGTGGGGGACATGGACAACAGTGGGAGCCTCAATGCCCAGGTGATCCACCAGGTGACGGGGAGGCTCCGCTCCAAGGTGGCCTTCCAGGTACGGATTGGGGGCTGCCCTGGGATTGGGGGGACCCCCCTGGGATTGGGGGCACCCCCCTGGGATTGGGGGGACCCCCCTGGGATTGGGGGGGACACCCTAAAAACTGGAATCCCCCCCAAAGAAAGGGGAGATGCCGCGAGGGGCCGAGGGCAGGGAGGGAGTTGGGGTGGGGGAAAGACCTGAACATGGGGGGGAACCCCCTGAAAATGGGGAACCCCCAGAGAAGGGGGCCACCCTGACGTTTTGGGGCACACCCTTACCTTTGCAGACCCAGCAGGCGAAGTTTGTGAACTGGCAGGTGGACGGGGAGTATCGGGGGAGCGACTTCACGGCTGCCCTGACCCTGGGGAACCCCGACATCCTGCTGGGATCAGGTGAGGGGGGACCTCAAAATCTGGGGCTTCGGTGGAGCCCCTGGAATCACCCACCCCAAATCCCCGGGGGGAAGGGAAGCCCTGTTTTGGGGTCTTCCCCACAGTCTGTGTGATTGGGACCCCCCCAGTCTCTCAGGGAGGGGGAGAGGAGGGTCCCCCCTCCCTCACAGACCCTCAGCCCTCATTTGTGGGGTGTCTCCCCCGCAGGGATCCTGGTGGCCCATTACCTGCAGAGTGTGACCCCCACCCTGGCGCTGGGGGGGGAGCTGGTCTATCACCGGCGCCCGGGAGAGGAGGGGGCCGTGGTGTCCCTGGCTGGGCGTTACACAGGTGGGACCCCAAAACCCTGGGGAGGGCGTGGGGGGACCCCAAAGCCCCCCTGCACAGGTGGGACCCCAAAACCCTGGGGGGGACCCCAAAAATCCCCTGCACAGGTGGGACCCCAAAACCCTGCGGAGGGCATGGGGGAACCCCAAAGGCCCCCTGCACAGGTGGGACCCCAAAACCCTGGGGAGGGTGTGGGGGGGACCCCAAAGCCCCCCTGCACGGGTGGGACCCCAAAGCCCTGGGGAGGGTGTCGGGGGGGACCCCAAAAAACCCCTGCACAGGTGGGAGCCCAAAAATCCCCTACACAGGGACCCCAAAACCCTACATAGCTGGGACCCCAAAACCCGGGGGTAGGTGGGCTGCGGGTGACCCCAAATCCTGGGGTGACCCCAAAACTCTTCCCCAGCCCCCACATGGATTGGGACCCTCACGCTGGGGCAGGCGGGGGCTCACGCCACCTACTACCATCGGGCCAGCGAGCAGGTACGGGGGACCCCAAAAACAGGGGGTGGGACCCCAAAAACAGGGGG